TGATGAATCTAGGCTTTGTCTTCCGATGCAAAGCTTTCCTATGATGTCTCCGGTCTTAACATTCTGTCCGGTTGATTGCAGTGCTGGCAGCTCATTTCTGGTCGGATCTTGTTCTTAAGGTGGCCACACACTTCAAATGAAGTTTGGACAAAACAAAACCAAACACGTCAGGCAAGACCGATCTGTTCCATACTTGAAAGGACGCTACCACCTTGTTCGTTCTATGTCACTCTACAACACTAGAGGGCGTAGAATGTTTTTGATGCAGTAGACCCACATACAGAGGGCAAATAATCATACTGTGGTGAGTGTGTGACTAATTATAATAAAGTAATTGAAAGCTATTTTAAAATGGAAGTTGCTGTCTTTATTAACACGAACTATTGGCTTAATACTAGCAGTGGCTAAGACAGATAAAGTCAACAGTTATGGTTACACACTAACGAATTACAGGATAATTATAGTCCTGCTGGCCAACCCCACAGCGACACATTATGTAAGCCAATTGTGAACAGTGGGTGGTACCAGACAAAATAATATGTTCACCTTGGGGGCCCTACACAGGTGGTGCGTCAAAACGGTGATCAGCACTCCTATAACGTCGTATTGCTAAAACGATGTTGAATCCATCAATTCCGTTTGAAGTATTTGGTCACCTTAATGGGAGCTTGTGAGTATGTTCTAGGTAGCAGTAATACTGATCTCAGAAGACAATCACAGTTGCAGTTACTTAGTTATACTCACAGAGCCAAGGAGGGGGCATAGACAGATTTTTAAAATTTAGTTTAACATGCCCAAGAAATACTAAATCAAGCTCACAAGATTAAAAGTAACTGTGTCCACCATTCAAAAGCTGGAGTCCTGGCACTGTGGTCACGATAACCACACATATTTCTGTAGTGCACAAATGCTAGCTATAAATAAATTATTTGAATTAAATTCATTTTAAAAAAGCCTGATACGTTAATATGTAAATGGTATTTAAATGACCACGAGGTGTAGTTTTTGTACAGGAAAGTTCAGGAGAATAAATTTAGAAAGGGGAGACATATTTGTATTATTATAAACATATGAGCTCAGAGATGTATGCATATATTAGTTATTACCATGTGCAGTATTAATAATTAGATGACAATAACACCTAATTTCCATATTAGAATTAGTTGCAACTAGTAAGTCTACCAGTATAAGAAGTTAGAATGGAAGACATCCATCCATCAATTGTCTGTACCCAATTGACATATATGTGTTATCTCAAAGATTTGAGCAAATAAACTTACTACTGTAAAACGCACAGTATTCACACAATTCACTCCAGCTTTTGGATTTGTGGGCATATTTTCTATAGGCAAAAACACAAATCACTGAAAGGTTAAATTAAAAAATTAATGAGTTTGAAATAGCAAATTGAGAGCACAAAACAGTATGTTTGTACACTTTAGTATTTCATGGGCACATTAATTAAAATTTTGCATACAATTTAGTACATTATGCCCATGAAATAAAAAAAAAATCTGTGGCCCCACTAGTGCTCCATATATTCATTAGTGTGTCTGTAACAGTCCTTGCTGTTGTGTCATAGAAAATATTGGTCATAGTGCAAATGAGAAGTAATTAATATATAACTATATAAAGAATATAATAACAATGACATTTTAAGACATCGACATAAAAACACAACGAAATAGTTAAACAACTAATTGGTGGGGAAAGATTGTGCAAAACGGCATGTAAGTGTAATGTGCAATAATTGAATAGGTGTAATTATAGCTATGTGTCGCGAGTAGAACTCAGAGCATTCTCGTAAAAACACATTTACTGGCTTTCACACTTGTAGTTGATCCATCAAGTAGTTTTAGAAATTTTAAAGGTTGGGGTATGGAAGGAGTAAGAATTAGATGGGCTGTAGGCAGAGGCGATCCTAGGGTTTGTTGGGGCCACAAGCAAAAATTCACTGGGGGCCCCCCCTCTAACCAGTTTTTGTCATCATTTTAATAAATGATCGCCATCTAGTGACTTGGGGGCCCCAAGCAGCTGCCTGCCCTGCCTGCTGACAAGATGCGCCTCTGGCTGTAGGGGAATAGGGCTGTCTGGGGAATACATTGGTGCTGTTCGGATAGCATCCTTTCTAGTTTATTTACTATATAATTTGTGGAAAATGTCCACCCATCTTAGACATGGTCACTGGCGGACCTGGTATCCAGGAAGCATAGGGCACAATGCAGGGATTGCCTGGTAAAGGATGCTAATGATCTGATATATATATATATATATATAATACAGGCAATCTGTGGTTACGAATGAGATTTGTTCCTCAAGTCTGTCTTTTAAGCTGAATTTCCAGGTAAGTCGGAACAGGTACATACGGTTCGTAACTCGGGATGGCCTGGATAGCCAAACCCATTTTCAGGTTGTACCCCAGCCTTGTGGCCTGTGCTGCCCGGGATTGGTTCCAAGCCCTCCCACAACCCGGCCTGGGATCAGATCGATGGTGGATGGATTCATATGATAATAAAAGTATTCATTTGAATAAATGCATGAAATGTATATACATTGAGGTAACATTAAAATAACATTTCTTATGAAGAGTTAAAATGTATTTACTGCAGTATATGTCATGCAATGTTTTTGGACACATAAACGACTTTGTTGGTATAGAAGCTCAGAGATAGAAACTGAAGAGTAAGTTTACTGTAGTTTTCTTTCTCCTTATTATAAGGTAGAAGTTTTATACATTGAAATTAGAAGAGAAAAAATGTTTCGGGAGAGATCTAGCCTCCTTAGGAAGACTAACAGAAATTCATGTCTCTGTGTTCAGGGTTCAAGGGACACCCTCAGTCACTCCTCCCAACAACCACCTCACTCCCTTGGCAATCTGCTCAACTCCCCCCTCTGCTCCGACGTCATTTTCATGGTGCAAGGTGACTTTTCACCCCACTTACCATCATTTTATAATGGACTTGGTGATTTACATCTAAGGAAGACATATTCACTGCGTTTACTTGGAACCTGTGTAGTGTATTGGACAATGGATAGACAAAAATATCACCCTAATACCAAGACACATATTTTATTGACAAGTTAATAGCATTTATGATTGTGATTTCAGATGTTTCATCCAAGTTTTAAAAATGTATGCTTTTATTAAAACCAGAAATTACTTAAAAGCTAGACTGTTGCAATGTCATTCTGAAAGTGTCTCCATCTCTGAATTCTCTTCAGGCAGTGTCTTGCCAGCCCACAGGGCGGTCCTAGTGGCACGTTGTGATGTCATGGCGGCCATGTTCAGTGGGAAGTACGCCGAGGCCCGGAGCCGGGTGGTGCCCATCCACGGAGTCTCCTCAGACACTTTCCTGTCATTCCTGGAATACCTCTACACTGACACATGCTGCCCAGGTGGGTGAATAGGTGCATACTAACCGTTTTCTCTCACATCTCCATAACTAAAGGGCTCAGCATTCTCTAAAACCCTGCTAATGGCTTTCCCATGGTGGACCTTTCTCTGTTCACTTGGATGTTGTTTGTGTGTCTGTCTGCAGCCAGCGTGCTACACGCCATGGCTGTGCTGGTCTGTGCTGAGATGTACCAGGTGAAGCGGCTGCAGCATCTGTGCGAGGTGTGCATCTGTGCCTACCTGCAGAGCATGCCCAGCAGAGAGCTCAGCACCACGGGCATCAGCGTGATCAGACTGCTCCGTAGGGCAAAGGTACGTATGGATTTATACTTTAAATCCATTACCATGAATGTCAGCGTAATCATTTGATTAAGGGTAAAAAAAAAAAAAAAAAGGTTATGACAGAGTCATTAATGAGGAAGGAAGTGGTAGGACAGCATATGGCTCTGTGGGTTCGACTCTGTGCCTGTGAGTGGAAGGTCCTTGGTTCACATCCAATGGCTGGCAGAGTGATGTCACTCTCAGGTCCTTGAACATGACCTTTAACCCCAATTACTCAAGGGACCCTATCTGACCTTTCTGAACCTCAATCGTATGTCACATTTGATAAATCGTTTGCTAAATAAATGTGCGATGCCTGGACAAGAAAAGATCAGCTTCGAAAAAGCAAAAGCTGGAATGACAGGTTTACTTATGAAAATATTGACTTATATATTCCTCATTTGACATGTTACACAACCACCAGTCACTTTACTGCCAATTGCACATTATTCATGGTTATTTACGATTGTTTGCGGTTCTGGGCAGTATACCGATTCATCCAGCGAATGGCATAATAGTATTTATAGATACTGCTTCAGTCTGTGCGTGAAAATTTGGATTATGTGTAACATTTATAAAAAGATGCAATTAAATGCAAGTTGGTAAAGCAAAATCCTTAATATTACCAATTTATCACGGTAATAATTATGAAAATCATGTCGGTTAAGCAAACGTTGTTACGAAGCTAAATATACAGTAATAATCAAAACATGTTTCTATGGAACTAAATATACATTATTAATCTATTAAAACATATCAGTAAAACTCTTCTTATTGAGCTTAGTTCAAAGTTATGATCAATAAAACATATGGCTATTGAGCTGAATATCCATTCATTAATTAAAAAAAAATATTCGTAGATGTATTTTATTGACGTAAACACTCGCTGCCGTATTAAAGGTAAACTAGGAAACCAGCCGACTGTGTTTAACGTTCTCTCTCTTTTATATTATGTTGCTGTTAAGACAACCTTGGAGTCAGGAACCCAAGCATTAACCATCACATTGTACCGCGTGTAACTATGTATGTGACAAACAAAGCATTAAACTCGGCGTCTAATGATCTGCACGTTCTGGTTGTGACAGTGCCACAATGCAGACCAGCTTTACGTTTGGCTCCTGCACTTCATTGCCAACAACTATCTGATTTTCAGCCACAAACCAGACTTCATGGAGCTGTCAGGTAAGCCCTTTAAACTTGACAACCGCAGGTTTATGTGGGACACTATGCTAGCAGTATAGTGCACCGAGCACTGAAGTTTACCACAGTAATGGCACTGATAACATTTGAATTGATGCATGTTTATTGTTTTACGTGCTTCTAGATCAGATTATTCAGAAAAGCACAATCAGCTCTCCAATACAGAACCGTAGCCCATATTCATATCAAATCCATGAAAAATAAACAAGTGCTAAGCAATTTCCTCTGGGATAATAACATTTTTCTCATTCTAAAAAGGTGAACAGACATATCAGCTAAGCATTTTAAGTATGTTTTAACTGCCTTTGATAGTGGCTGTTAGCAGGACAGGTGGAGCATTTATTTCTGGCTATATTCGCAGAGGAAGAGAGGGAACAAGTAGAGAGGTTGCGGTGGCCGTCCAGGGGATACCTGCAGCAGCTCAGCGAATATCAGCAGTGCCGGCGGCAGCTACGCAAGTCACGCTGCTCCGTCATGTGACCAGGAAGTGCGCTGAGGAGCAGACAGACTGAACAGACAGAGGAGAGGGTGGGGAACACATGGTGAAAATCTACAGCCAGCATCGTTACTCATAGTCAGTGATGCGTCATTGGCCGAAATCCATCTTAACACAAGTCTGGATGAAAACGGCCATCTGTCCATCTTTCAGCCCCCCCCTCCCAGACAGGGTGGCAGAGGCCCTACAGCATATCCCAGGCACCACAGGCCACAAAGCGGGGGAACACCCTAAATAGGAGGCTCGTCCATCATAGGGTCACACGGTCATACACTTCCGGCAATTTAGAAACCCCAATTCACCTTAGTTAGAACATAAGAACTATACAAACGAGAGGAGGCCATTCGGCCCACTAATAACTTAACTAATAGCTCAGAGTTGTTGTCTTTGGATGGCAAGAAGAATCCATTGTACTCGGAGCGAAGCCCCCAACATGTGGAAGAACGTGAAAACTCAACACAGAGTAAAGGCAGGATTCCCAACTTCAGCCTTGGAAGCGAGACTGCACCACCCACAGAAAACATATTTTTATATATTCTGTACATTAATGATACACTTGAAACAGTGCTGAACACATAGACGATACCATAACAAGCGATCCTGCTTGAGCTGATAGTCGTAGAGTGATGAATAAATTAACCTGTTTCTTTAGTGTGTTGTGTGAACAGAAAGCTGTGCATGCACTTTAGGTGAATTGCCTGATCAGAGAAAAATGGACAGGGGACTTAAGGTAGGGTGAGGTCAGGCTTTCCTTTTGTCAAAGGAAGAAGGCGCTTAATATAGCCATTACTTATGTCAATAACACAGCAGCACGCAAATACCTTAAATATTTACTCTACACACCTTTATTTGCTGCCATATAGTTATTTGAAGGTTATGCAACTATTTTTATAACGAACAAGTTCAGTTATTTTGTTCATAATATAATTGTTTTTAATTATTTATTTGTAAAAGACTGAGTTTTAATTGCATTTTTAATTACCAGCATGTGGAGTTAATTGTACCTTTCCTTCATATGGGTAGTCATACACAGTACCTTGGACTCCTGTCAGAATGAATAAACCTGATTTAAGAAAAGCAACCAGGCTGTCAGAGGGTCATACCTGGGAAGCCGTGGGCGTTTGAGGTGTTCACTGCAAGGCACTGATGGCTTCTAGTAGGCCCTGCAGTTCCCCAGTGTTGTCCAGCTCTTCCACATCAGTTCCTCCACCAACACACTTCTTCCCAACGAAAACACGAGGGACCTGCAGCACAGACAGTTTTGTAAATAGATGTGATGTAATTATATCAAATTATATATATCAAATTTTATGTGATATAATTATATGTACTTAAGTCAAAAGAATATGCATTTATAAACCACATATTAGCAGACGTTTTTGATATTCAAAAAGAAAAACTGAATACAGCAAATAATTGCAGGCAAGGAATTTCCGTCCATCCATGACAGTATTTCGGATGATATGTCATATTACGGAGCACTCCGTTGTGTGCACTATTATTTTAAAAATGAAAGAATGTGTGGCAAAAGTCTTTTCTCGTGTACAAGACCGTATGTTTAGTTTCAACACCGGTAAGGACCAGGGGTGAGTTTCCCGAAGCCTTCTTAACGCTACGTCGTTCGTTAGTTCTATCTTTTAACACAGAACTTAAGAACGACGTAGCGTTAAGAACGCTTCGGGAAACTCACCCCAAATCAGTACCGAACCCCCCCCGACTTTTGCATCTGGACTAAGGTAACAAGGTAACGGTTTCAGTAACGCGATCGGAAATAATTACCGAAGACAAAACACATAACATATAAACATACAAGACAAACATTATGAAGATCATCAAGGACTAACCGTACGAGCCCCGGTTATCTGCTGCAGGTAGTCTTGAATACTTCCCATATCTTTCCGTCCACTGATATCAATCAATTCCAAGTGTCCGGGTTTAAAGTTGTATTTTAACAAGACTTCCTTCGCCATTACACAGTAGGGACATGACGGTTTCATGAACAAAACAACTTTATTGCCTTTAATCTGACTCTCTACGAATTCCTGCGCCATTATAAAATCACAATGCAGTGTTCAAAATGTACAACGACAGTGGCCCAGCGAGGACGGAAAACCCCATTTCCCATAAAGCACTATCCAGCATTTTAAAACTTTATTAGTCACTTTATTAGTCACAGCTTGACATGATAATGTTATTGTGAAACCCAATACTATATTTAACCAATTTAATTACATTCTTGGTAGTAAACATTCTGTTTTTAGATGTCTGCAATTAAATTATTACTATAGTAGTCACAATTGGCCAGGGCAAGTTTCATATTAATTGGAGGGGTCAATCGGGGTCAGAGCTGTGACGTCACGTCGTCTTATAATGTATACATTTCGGTTTTTTCGTAAACCAATGCTGTTATAGGTATATAAAGTGAAATGTATCTTTCCATTTCAATCTTCACATGGTAGTTTAAGTGCATTAAGTTCCGCATTATGTACACTGAATTTGCGGGAATTATTAAAATTATGCATAAATCGCGAGATTCCGCCACGAATGTCAGGTCATTCATCATGGAAAAGTGACGCCACCTCCGGGTCCACTGCGATGCCCCCGTCACGTCCTGCACCCTGTCTCTCTCAAACACATCCCAACTTTCCGGAAAGAAACCCATAATTGTGATTTACTGAATCTCTTCTTGATAATAAATGGGACTTTCTGGCAGCACCATTTATGAATTAAATGATCCTGAGTTTCTGGCAATCGAGTAACTTACTTTATGGCGTTTCCCAAAGAAATGCCCGATCTGATCCCATTTTACTCATTCTTATGCCCTAACAGCAAACACAGCAGAATGAGAATCGTGACTGACACAAATGCTATTTACCGCTGCGTTATCAGCCTTGCTATTTGTGTTATGCTGTTAAACTCACCAAGCTAGTTGCAGTTTGCGCAATCAAATAAGATAATCTTTATGAAACTCCCGCGAAGCAGGATTAAGGGAAAGTCCGATTTATTTCGACAAGTCTAGATCTGGCTCAGTTAATCCCCACTGAAGTACCATGGTAACTCATGCGAGTGAACAAGTCTGCTCCGGACCAGCCCCCTGTACTAAGAAGCGGGGTTACTGGCTTATCGGGGTAACTTGTCGGACTTAAGGTATCACAGTTTAAATGGACTTCATATTCGTTCACTTACATTTTGCCCAGACTACCTTAAATCCGACAAGTTACCCCGATAAGCCAGTAACCCCGTAGTACGGGCCCTGTCTCGCTTAGTTAAACGGTGTCTCAAAGAACAGATTCCCAAAAGATCGTTCCGTCGGACGAAATTCCGCGCTCTCACTGCTCATGTCATGTGTTCAATATAATAAAACCCGTAACAATCACGTCTCAGCATTCCAATTAATTCTAAAATAATTAAAATAAAAGAGTACTCATATTCCAAAGGTCAAACATACAATGCAATGACTGAAATTGGAAAAAAAAATCAGTTTAAATAATATGAACAGGAAGATATTTTTATATTTTGTTGAGTTACTGTCTACTTTGAAAGTTTATTAATAAAATACCAAAGACGAGATACGGTTATTTGTGCAGAACATTTCACACGGATGCGATTGAAAGTATTTTACGGAGATCAAATAATACAGAATAACATTATACATTAAGAATGACACGTGAAGTTAACCCAGAAGGTTCCCCGTTGGCTATGGGGATCGAACCAGGAACTTTCTCGGTGTAAGGCATCATCATAAACCACTGTACCACCGTGCCACTGTACTAGGCATTTGTATTATTTACATAACTTACACATTTAGTCTGTTTGCAATTCTTTGGCAAGCCAGCTCCCTGGTTTTATTTATGGCCACAGTATTGCCTGTTTTTTTTTTAGTTTTTTTTTTTTTAGCGATTACATCTGTATTTTTCATACAGCTCCACTCACTTCTTGTTCTGTTTGTTGCATTAAAGTACCCACCACTTTCAAAGAAGCACATGAAATATTTTTAAATGTCTTTTGTTTCTGAGTAACTCTGTATTGTTTATTCTGTGCTGACTTCTTAGCAGTTAGTATGACTCTGCAGATCCTTCCACATACAAGTAGCGCGGAACAGAGAACTTTGCATAATCACAGATCACCAACTCAACTGGAATTTCTCTTATAGTCCTATTTCTGTTTAAGAGACGTTACGTTTAGGGAATGAAGATGGCAACACTTAAAATATATATTTACATTTCATGAGAGTAATAATAATTATAATTGCAATACTTATTAAAAATAAATTTATAATTTTATAAGAATTACATATTTACTATAGGTACTACAACAGTATAGCAAATTCATGTAAAGTGATATTTGCTTATTTGACACTAGATGGCAATAATACCCTATTATTCAAAACAAAGGTCTTTTTAGTTATTTTTAGTCAGACCGTATTCCAACAGAGATGATATTGCTTTCATTATTTTAATAATATATTGGTAAAGTAGTTCCTGATTTCATTGGCATGGCTGGTACTCCTGCTTTTCTCATACCAATATGATTGGGGTTCCACATCTCACCCCCACTTTGTGTGTTGTGTTTGCTTCTCACTGAGGTTCTCTGCATTTCTGTTAGGTACTCCAGACTTCTTCTGAAATCCAAAGACCCTGGAAATTATTGCAGATATTTCCATTAAATAACCTCTATGACAATGACCATAAGCACTGATTATATTCTGGAACATAAAGCAGACCTCTGATAGTTCTTTTGGGAGAAGTGAGTGCATTTCTTAGTCAAAATGTGTCCGTGATCAATGTTAATGAGATATTTTAGCCCAGATTTCAAAACCCATACTGCACTTTAGACATTAACTTTTTCCTTTCAAAGGTTATTAATTTTAAAGCTTCCTTCATCAATTAAAAATGAATATATAGGTATAGGGCAGCACATTGGGTCAGACTGTTATAAATACTGTAGTCTTACACGCCGTGGCTTTGATCCCCGGCTCTGTGGATGCAGTTTGTATGTTCTCATGGTGTTTCCTATAGTGTTCTCATGTTCCGCCTGTTCTCCTTGGCTTCTTTCTGGTTTCCTCTCACTGTCAGGAAATATGCTGAGCAGCTGTCTCCATTTTGGCATCCCATCCACGGTATCCAGTGACTCATGCCCATATCTCCAGGTTTACCGAGACCCTGTGCCGGACCAGCAATTATGGATGAATAGCAAAATATTGTTCATCCGTCTTCTGAAACTACTTATACTATTCAGGGTTGCAGGGTCTGAAGCCTATAGGGCCCCAAAGCAGGAAACAACCCAGGACATGACCAGCCCATCACAGGGCACAGGGGGCGGGGGGGGGAAACCTGGAGTACCTGGAAGAAACCCCACAAAGACACATGGAGAACATGGCAGAGACTTGAACGCGGGTCCCTGAAGTGTGAGGTAACAGTGCTTTCCACCTCAATACCATGCCACCCCTAAAATATCGTTCAATATGTATTACTATAGACTTACGTAATAGCAGTATGATACTTGTTAACACTTATATATGTGATCATATGATTTGTCCTATGTTTACTACATTAAAATAATAATGACTTCAAATTAATTTTACTGTATGACTATAATTTACCCTCTGCCAAGCAGAGGAGTTGCAGTGCAGAACTTGATGGCAACTCTGGTCTATACTGGGAACTGAGAAGGACAGCTGCGACTGGGCAGATAAGGAGGCATCTGTTAGAGGAATCTGTGAGCAGGTGACACACCATCTGTGGTCTAGTGACCCACATTCGGCTTACAGAGGAATCAAAGCATTACGCACATCTGAATCTGAACTTTGGAGAGTCGCAATCAGGACAGGAGATGGAACCGTCCTTTCAGATGACACTGCAGTTGTGACCTGCTGGCCGGCTACTTTTGAGCAGCTGTTTAAAGCTGATCCACCGGCTAGGATGCTGGACATCTCTGGGTCCACGGCTCTTGAAGCTGATCCTCCCATTAGCTGTGAACCATCCAATCTCACTGAGATTGCATAGGTGGTGAACCAGCTGGGGGTGGAGAAGGCCGCAGGGATCTGTGGAATCCGGGGTGAACTTCTCCAGGCTGGTGGTAAGACTGTCCTCCTGGCATTGCAGGCATTCTTTGTTTCCATTTGGGAGACAGGTGTCACCCCAATTGACTAGAAAACAGAACTTCTTGTCCCTATATGGAAAGGGATGGGTGATTGTCTGGATTGCAGCAACTACAGGGGTATCAGAGCTGGGCAGGGTTCTTGCAAGGGTCATCCTTACCTTAATAGGATCCATGACTACTTGCTTACCTATCAGCGACCAGAGCAGCCTGGTTTTACGCCTAAGAAGTCTAACATCGACCACATTCTGGCACTTAGGGCTCTCATTGAGTGCAAATGCAGATATCAGCAAGTTTTCATACAGTCTTTAACAATATATCGTACAGTGTTTTTTTTCCTGTTTTTAACCAAATAAACTTGTATTCATTTATTTACTTTTCAATTACTTTTCAATAACTTAGTTAGTTACAGTAAATATTTATTTACTTATTTGGTGACAGTAGTTATTTATTTTTCATATCATATTCATATCTGACTTACGATATTTTCCAAATTATGAGGGGTTAATCAGAATGTGACCCCATCGTCAGTCGAGGAGCAACTCTATAGGGTCAGTTTCACTTCCCAGGGAAATTATTGCTGCTGCAGCTTTGAACAAGGTGAACAAAGAGATGAAAAATTAATATGGTGCTTTCAGTATGTAAAAATGTACGTAGGCTAATAAAAATAAACAAAGCATGTCTTTTGTCCACAACATTTACAACCACACAGTAGATGCTGCAACATCGCCAAGACACTGTATTTAGGTGTAAATCAACATGCAGTTATACCCATAACAAGGAAATAATTCTAACAATATCAACTGCGTTCAATAACAAACAGATCCATAACAGTTCAAACACTAGAATGACCTGATTTGAGAAGCCCCAGGTTTTATTCCAGATTTATTTTGCTCTGTGCGCACCTAATACTCAATGGTCATTTTTTGTCAGGAATATATATATATTTTTTTCCATTACTTTTTTAATACATCTTTTTTTATACATAATATGAACAAAAAAGAAGATATATTTCAGGGAGCAGATTTACCTTTACCCATGCTACCTCCAATCACGTTTCTTGATTTTTCATCTAAGTCTGATAAATACAGGCATTCACACAAGCGATCGAATGGCATCATGCCAATGTATAGGACATACATGAGGAGTGACGCTCAGCCTATTTACCTCAGGGCTCTTTCAGAGTCTCCTGCATTTGCTCACGTCTTCATGAATGAGTGTATGGATATACAGCAGTCTCAACGGGACGCCAGGTGTTGTGCAGAGTCATGCAGAACAGTGTTAATACATCAGTCCGTGGGCCGGAATGAGTCACAATCCTCCCAGAATCCCTAACTGATGGCAACACAGGGGCCAAACTTAATAAGCAAAACTTACACTTACATCTTAATATAGATATAAGGTATGTTCAGTCTCTTTCAGCAACAGTGATGAAATCCCTGTGCAGGAGCCCCCAGACAGAACATGAGATTAACTAGGAACTGATGTTACAAATTAGAGAATAATTACAAATTATACAGTCAGTCTACTGGTAAAGAAGAAGAACGCAAGAAAACAACCCCAAAGAGAGGTAACCAAGTATGCCCAGCATATTTAATGTTAAAGGTAATAGAGTGTTGAAAACACTAAATGAAATTAAATAAACTAAAAAAGTAGAAGTGTAGATGAATCTGACATGCACAAGACATGGGGTAAAACTGAAGGGGAACACAGATACAAATATACAAAACAACCATTTTAATCCAGTGTCTTAGGGATATGCAAATGATCAATTTAAAGTTTTTGGAAATAATGAATTAATAATTACGGGGCCTAATAGGATTTCATTCATTGATCAAATCCATCTTCCATAAGTGCTTACCCAGCACGGGGCCGCGGTGAGTTTGGGACCTACTCCAAAAAGAACAGGAGACCCACCCTGGATGGGATGCCAGTCCAACACTGGGCACATGCACACGCACAAGCACACGTGATGTGCAATTGAATGACACTGCGTGGAGGAAAGCACGGGATAACATTCCAGAAGATTCCACAGGCACCGGGCCAGGGGCAGCATTCACACTCGCAACCTTGGAGACACTGAGTAACAGTTAATGAACAAGAGGAGGGTATTGAAAATTATGCCACAAAGAAACACAGGGCCTAACATACACTTGCAAGGCAACTTAATAATTTATTATAATGAATGTAAATTTGTTAATCTATGAACAACAAATGCAACATAAAACACAATGCCTGTCTCAATGGCCTAAGCAAAGACCAGCAGTCGAATTGAATTAAAATGAAAATAAAATCAAATGTAAAGGTTATTAAGTGAAGCATATGTTAATATGAACATGAATTGCATCGGATTTATGTTAATCGAATTACGAAGAAATGCATGGAATAGTAAGGTGAACACCCACTGAGCTCATCTGCCAATTAAATGTTTGAATTGTAAATGCATTTGATTTGGATCATATTTTATATGACTATACCTTAAAGGTGCCCCTCAGCACGTTTATCTGTGTGAGTTCATACACCACAATTTAGTTTAGCAGTCGTGCTACAAATACCTGTGTAAGTTTATCATTATGTGTTTACAAACAGCTATAATTATAGCTATAAGTCAATGATAAAAAATATCTTTTATCCTGATAAAGTATTTAGATTATAATCATTTTAATCTGCAAATATACTCTTCTGGAGTTATTAGAAAAATAAAAATTGTATAATGTACAGTGTTTTTTTTTTAATTTAAATATATAAAACTATTCAGATATCTGCTGCTTTCTGCATTACGTATTTTATGAAATTATAATTATAACTAGCAATATAATGAGAACCATATATTTATATAGTGAAATATATTGTGGCATTGATTATATATATTTATTATACAATCTTTATTATATACTTAAATGATTTATATGTGCCCATTTAGTGAATATTGTATAGGCAAAGAGGGTTGGTTGTAAAGTTAATTTGATATCTATACATTTCTCAATATAGGCAAGGGTTACTCAAAAATGAAAATTAGCTATTACTGAATTATTTTTAATTGATTAAGAAAAAAAATCTGCTATATTGAGCATATGTTTGTAAATTTACTATACAGGAAAATTATTAAACATAAGGCAGACAATCAACACAGCATAACAAATGGACAAATCATTGATGAATAATGGACAGGCAGCAGCACAGCTGGTGGGGAGGGGGACACAGCCAGGAGGAAGGGGCCATGAAGCTTTTGGGGTGGGGGGGGGGGTTCATAGCCATAACCAGCACTGTTATTACAGAACAGCAGAACAGTACAAGTCACATGAGCAGGTCCACCAGAACGTTTTGTCGGGAAAAAGGCTCAATTTTTCAAACACTCACAGATATTCAATAATGGAAACTGCAGTGGGAGAAACTGGGCTCACGTCAGTGTGCCTAAGAGGTGCCAATCTGGCCGAATCTGGTCCATCAGCTACTGATGAACTGCGTTGAGGGCTAATTTAGGAAACCTGGGTCTAATGCAAACCAGCAGGGTACATGGACCTCCCTCAGGTAGACAATATCAACACAGTGAGGTCATGACAAATTACAGACAGTAAGCCTACAGGGGAAAAACAAATAAACCTGACTGGAAGAGCCAGCAAACCTTCCTGCTCTGGACATTGCTGTGCCCGGGGCTGCTGGAGGCTCTGGCAGCCTCACCACATCCAGCCCAGCAGCACCCAGTGCCACCCGCCCTATTGGCCACCTTCAGCCACCATGTCAAGCAGCGCCTGTAGCAGCCGGTCATCTCTGTGTCTATATGGTTTGCTGTTGTAAAATGCGTCACTATAGTCACTGTATAGGCTGTCCTCAGAGCCCCTGTGCTTATTCAGCTTGTCCAGGGCCTGGTACAGGTTCTGGTAAGGGATGTGTGGGTGGATGTTATCCCCCTCCGGGTCCCTGGGGGCAGCATAGGGCCAAGGGTTGGCGCGGGGTTGGCTGGCCTGGTGACTGCTTTCCCTATTGAAAGCGGTCTGCAGGAGTCGCATGAGGGCAGTAGAGGGCGCCTTCTTCTCCTTAGCTTCCTCGGCCGTGGGTTTGAGAGTGGCCAGAGCCTTCGGAGGCTGATGGGCCTCAGTGGGCATCTCCTGCAGACCAGCCAATGGACGGAAGCAGAATGTCCATTATTTGACTTCCAAACTAAAAGTGGTAAAGCTTCTCAGAAACAGTGATCCAGGTGAACACTACACTTCAGAGATACAGATGCTTGGAGGGTTACTGGTACCTCCAAACAACGAGACGTACCTTCAACATGTCCTCCATCCTCTCCACACCGCGGCGATCATTCTGCACGGCGTTGTAAGGAACGTACACCCTTGGTGCTTTCATGTGTGCTGGTCGCTCGGATGTGCCATGCAGAATTAGCTTCCAGTTAATGATCTGGCCCTTGTTCTCCATACGACCAGACTGAGGGAAGATGGATTACAAGACAATTAATCAACCGGTGAGGAATCAATTTCTTATACGAGTACTTGTGGGGCAGCGGGAGTGACAATCACAGTCAGTACACTAGACGGGGTGGGGCCGCAGAAACGAGAAATCCATCCCTAAAATCCTGGATTAAACTGTTTACAGCTGTTTATAATAACTGGTTGTCTTATTTAAGTTGCTTATTTAAGAACTATACTTGTATGGGGAGGTGAATAACTGTGTCCAATTAATATCATTGTAGCTCATATTTTGTAACAATACAGAGAGGAGGTGGAAAGTTTGGGTCCAAAAAATATGAATGCAGACCAAGATTTTGTTTCAACCAAGTAGTTGAGTACTCTGTGAATGTGACTATTTACACATTCTTTGTCTGGATTTGTACTTTCTGAACCTGGACATTCTACTTTTGATATAGGGTCAGATAAAGTGAACATAATTCATATTTATTTATTATGTAGAAAAGACCCAATTAAGACAAATCTATCATAAGTCTGTACTTAGTGTTTAAAACTGATAGAACATTTATTCAATAGTTATTCAAAAGATTTAAATATATTTATTTTGTGGCAATGCTGTAATACATTGTAATACATCTGAAATCTTAGCCAAGTATTGCCAAATTTATTTTGGCTATGCATCCGTGAGCCAAAGCTTTAACTGTACAAGTTTCAGATTTGGTGACCCAAACCACATTCAAATAATAGAAATATGTATAAAAAGAGTATATAATTTGACAGTTTTACTGAAAACCTGCCACACATAATCAGTACCAGCACAAAGTTTGAGTTCATCCACTTGAAACCATTTTTATGTTAATCCTCAGCATTTTAGCCTGTGGTTCGTGAATCCCCCATATAATCATTTGGCTTTACGCATTACCACAAATACTAAAGGGCATCCCCCTTCCCCTCGGTCCTTTGCTCTTAGTTACTCATGTGATCACACATTAGTGGTTAGCTCTGGTCTGTCTGCATTTGAGGGTTCTTAGTTTTAAGTAAGGTTGAAGAAATCACTGCATTGTCTATGTATTTGTTTATGAACAGGAATTGAATTCAGAATTTCTAAATAGCAGATTTTTAAAATATTTTAGTCCAACCGCTGCTTATTTGTAAGACAAAGCAAGGCTGAGGGGTTGAGTTTGCACAAGTGATTAAAATTTCCCAGCATGGAAATGGCTGCATCATGGTCAAGGGTTGCTTAGGAGATGGTGATCTGACGAATGCATTGCATTTGTGAAACTATTATCAAGGTAAATTTAGAGATTATTATCAGTTTTCCTGCATACTGCTTTAGTCCTCCCAATTTTTTTTCTTTATCGTAATTTTAAATTTGTATTTTTCATTTTGAAGTATTTACAGAAAATACTTGTGCAGTTCAAACGCACCATATCCGTGATCTTTAAGGTCCAGGTGCCGGCTGGGTCTTCACCCCAGGTATGGACAGACATAAAATCCCAGTTCTTGAAGCCATTGGAAGAGGTGTCCCTCTCCCGCTCAGCTAGCAGGACTGTGCTGGTGCCTGGCGATGGAAAAGCTGTGTTAATGTCTTTTCAATTTCCTGTAAGTGCCCTGTCAGTGCCCTTTAAATATAATGTAAATATCCTCTAAACGGACGGATCATTTCCTGTAAGTGCCCTGTAAATATCCTGTATATGTCCTCTAAATGGCCAGATCATTTTCTGTAATTGTCCTGTAAGTACCTTGTAAATATCCTGTATACATCCTCTAAATGGTCAGATCATTTCCTGCAAGTGCCCTGTCAGTGCCCTGTAAATATCCTGTATACGTCCTCTAAATGACCAGATCATTTCCTGTAAATCAATGCACTGTAACTTACTGTTTCAATTCTGGTCAATGTCAATGACCTGGAGAAGTTGACACTCATTGTAACCCACATATTCAAGGCCCATTTAGAGTAAAATATTCATTTTTTTCTTCAGTATGATGAGACCACTCTTTGTTATTAGTGACACCAGTAACAAACATCACACATATTATGCTTTTGTCAATTTCACATGAATGTTATGAATATTACCCATCATCTGGGTAGAAAACCTTGGCATATATAATAGAATGCTGGACTTTAGTCTACTTAATAGGGAGGTGAGGGTGATGTGCAAGCCTCCATTCCTGATGTATATAACAGAAGGCTGTACATTAGTCTATCTGATGAGGAGGTGAGGGTGATGTGCAAGCCTCCATTCCTGATGTATATAACAGAAGGCTGGGCATTAGCCTACTTAATGGGGAGGTGAGGGTGATGTGCAAGTCTCCTCTCCTGGTGTATATAACAGAAGGCTGGGCATTAATCTACCTGATGGGGAGGTAAGGGTGATGTGCAAGTCTCCACTTCTGGGGTGTATAACAGAAGGCTGGGCATTAGTCTACCTGATGGGGAGGTGAGGGTGATGTGCAAGTCTCCACTCCTGGGGTGTATAACAGAAGGCTGGGCATTAGTCTACCTGATGGGGAGGTGAGGGTGATGTGCAAGTCTCCNGAGGGTGATGTGCAAGTCTCCACTCCTGGGGTGTATAACAGAAGGCTGGGCATTAGTCTACCTGATGGGGAGGTGAGGGTGATGTGCAAGTCTCCTCTCCTGGTGTACTCGATGCTGGCCTCCATCTGAATGTGCTCCAGGGACTTGATGACGTTCTCTTGTCCAGCACAGGCTTTTGTGGGAATTTCGATGGTGATCTCACCAGCAGCTTTCAATGGCCTGATAAAAATTGAAAAACAAATGAAACCAATAACAGTAAAATGTTATTTGACCTCACCCTCTTTGTATTGAGGTTAATCCTAATCTGTGCCTGGGTATGAATGAATGACTTTTTGCTTGTACACAAGATCAAAAAAGGTAATGTTCATCAGTGAGTGAAGGGAATAATAATAATTAATGTTCCTGTGAAGATGTACAGAACCACAGGCAATTACAGGGAGTTTGGCTACTTCCAGTATCTGTATGCCTGACTCATATCCCGCAAGTAATACTTTTTTTTTTTTAAAGAGGATTCATTGCAATATCAGTTCTGAAATAGTGGGTCTAGAAGATTTATTATTGGAAAATAATAGACAGAAACTTACATATAAATAAAATATAAATGTTTGTACATACAAAACACATACATACTGTTCTGTTCCTTATCTATATTGTTGCACTAGATTATAGATATTTTTATTCTTTTTTTCAGAAAATTTCAATGTACTTTTTAAGCAGCACTTGTAGAAATATGAATAATATATATGAATAATATGAATAAAAAGCAGCAATGGGAACAGCTGAAGCACTAAAGGCTGATTTATACTTCTGTGTAGAATCTACACCATTGGAAACCTCCGCCGTAGCCTGACGTGCACCTTCCCTGCAGACGTTAGGCTGTGCCGTAGGATACGTGGGTATGTGGGTACCTGGGTATGTGGGTATGTGGGTACCTGGCTACGTAGGTACCTGGCTACATGGGTATGTGGGTACCTGGGTATGTGGATATGTGGGTACCTGGCTACGTAGGTACCTGGCTACATGGGTATGTGGGTACCTGGGTATGTGGATATGTGGGTACCTGGCTACGTAGGT